CCGCCCACTGTGCATTAAAGCCTTTTCTCCAGGCTCTGCCCCTTTTCCGGGCGATTTTGGGGTGTTGGAGGGTGGGGAGGGGTTTGGGGGGAGGCTGAGGGTAATGGGGGGGATGGATGGGGGAGCCCTGACCTCGCATCGGTGCCCGTGGTTCCAAGTTGGTGCCAGTGACGTCGTGGTGATGCCTTTGATTCTGCCTTGATGCCCCCAAACCTCGTGTCAGCGCCCTTGACCCCAACCCCACGCTGATGCCTTCAACCCCGTGTTGATGCCCTTGACCTCATTATGGTGTCCCCAACCCCATATTGATGCTCTCGACCTCGTGGTGGTGTCCTCAACCCCATATTGATGCCCTCAACTCTGCATTGATGCCTTTTACCCCTTGTTGATGCCTCCAGCCTCTGTTGTTGTCCCCAACCTCTTGTCCCACTGCCCTTGACCCCATATTGATGCCCCCAACTCTGTGTTGGTGCCCTTGACCCTGTGTTGGTGTCCCCGACCCTGTGTCGATGCCCTTGACCCCATGTTGTTGTCCCCAACCTCTTGTCCCACTGCCCTTGACCCCATATTGATGCCCCCAACTCTGTGTTGGTGCCCTTGACCCTGTGTTGGTGTCCCCGACCCTGTGTCGATGCCCTTGACCCCATGTTGGTGTCCCCAACCCTCTGTTGTTGTCCCCAACCTCATGTCACTGCCCTTGACCCCATATTGATGTCCCCGACCCCGTGTTGATGTCCCCGACCCCGTGTTGACGACCTCAACCCCACGTTGGTGCCCCCAATCCTGTGTCAATACCCCTGACCCCATGTTGGTGTCCTCACCTCTGTCTCAATGCCCTTGACCCCATATTGGTGTCCCTGACCCCCTGTTGATGCCCTTGACCCCATGTCGGTGTCCCCAACCCCACGTCAATGCCCCTGACCCTATGTTGGTGTCCCCCGACCCCATGTTGGTGTCCCCAATCCTGTGTCAATACCCTTGACCCCATGTTGGTGTCCCTGACCCTATGTTGGTGTCCCCAAAGTCCCCTGGCACTATTTTGGTGTCCCCCGACCCCGTGTTCGTGTCCCCACCCCTGTGGCAATGCCCTTGGTCCCCTGTTGGGGGATGTGGGTGTCCCCGACCCCACGTCAATGCCTTTGACCCCACGTTGCTGCCCCCAAGCCCCCGTCAATGCCCTTGACCCCCTGTCCGTGCCCCTGACGCCATATTGACCTCCCCTCCCCGCTGCCCTTGACCCCATAATGATGTCCCCGACTCCGTGTTGACGACCTCAACCCCACGTTGGTGCCCCCAATCCTGTGTCAATACCCCTGACCCCATGTTGATGGCCCCAACCCCGTGTTGATGCCCTTGACCCCGTGTTGGTGTCCTCAACCCTGTGTTGGTGTCCCTGACCTCCTGTTGGTGCCCTCAACCCCGTATTGCTGTCCCCAACCCTGTGTCGATGCCCTTGACCTCATGTTGGTGTCCTCAACCCTCTGTTGTTGTCC